CTGTAAATTTCAAACGATTTAGATTTAGTTACATCTATTATCGTATGTTTCTCATTGAAATAATCTATACAAAATGATATTGAATATATTAAAAAGTGAAACTTGCTCATGGACAACAATAGCTCTAAGCTAGATGAGAAACATACGATAATAGATGTAACTAAATCTAAATCGTTTGAAATTTACAGAGCTTATCGGTATCGAAGTTCTAATTATTTACAGAGCAAAATATCACTGATTTGACTTAAATCAGAAAAGATTAAGAGATTGTTGGAGTTTTTTCATAAAAACATAGAGAGACTCAGCTAATGCTTACTACGTATGCTATTTATTAACTTTCTAAAAGTTGAATAAAAAGTTCAATTATATGTTCTTATAGCGCAGAAAAACGTAATATTATTTTAAGTACAATCGACAACTATTTTGAATTCTATGGAAAGAATCATATTTTATCATAGTTTTAACAATATGTATATATATATAATTAGAACGCTAAAACTAACTCCTTTAATGCAAACTCGTATTTGAATCATTGAATATGTTGTCATAAAACATATTGCGCAGAAAAGTGTTCTCTATCTGGCTTTTCAAATATTTTATTACATGTTCTGAAGTCTCATGTTTATTTCTCCGAAACAGCTCAATCATAAGACCAGCAACTTCAAAGTTATATAGATCATGATAAATAGAACACCTTTTGAGTAAATTTATAATTGCTACGAGGCATCTTTGGTACAAATAGTTGACTATGAAACGTGGAGACGACGTCCCACAGGAACATTTGAAGATCATAAAATTCTTCTGTCATGCGACTTAATCCTTTAAGTACTAACGTTCGGAATAAGAAACACTTTTTTCACATTTCTTAGATTTTGAATAACTCTCGAACGCGAAACGGTATCGAAGTGCGGTTTCCTCGATAACGTATAAGAGACTTCGATGCATACATCCATATAAGTATTCCAATCCTAATAAGATCTCTCAGGTAGTAAGTTTGCTGGGGATTTTGGACCGCCAACTCTACTCTAACAAGGAGAAGGGCCGATAATGCTCTTTGCAGTCATTAAAATATTTTGGTTTTCCATGGTGAAATCAAGTTAGGAGTGACGCTTAATGATATTCCAAAGATTGATTTTGTGACAGCTGTCAATCGAATTTTGACCCACAAATCGTATGCCGCCATGTAGATGTCCAGAATACTTCTTCGCTATCCTCGTAGAGGAGTACGAGCTTTGGTTGAAAGATAACGTTGCAGATTTTAAAATAAGTTTTGATGAAAATATGTACAATATACAGTGTCCATGTTAAATATAAAATCTCAAAGAAATTTCATCCATTACCTGAACTATGGGCCTGAAAGGGTTAATTCTTTAATCAGCCCTTTGTGAGATTAACAGCTTCTAATATAAGTAGTCTCCATGGGTCTTTTCTTTTTGATTCGTGATGTTCGTCAGCTTTTTTTTGTATGTTGATTATTTTCGAGCAGATTTTTAAGATAATGGCCGAGTTTTTCGCCAAAAATACTCTCAGAAACGACTGTCCATTGTGAACATTCATTTTATATTGTAGAATCAGGCAAGTTAATGCAAACTTTCTACTCAACGTGGACGCCAAATACAGATCAGAGTACAACAGTCATCAATACTGATAAGATTGTTCGAAAAGTAATCGTATTTCAATTAATTATGATATTTATCTAAAATAATTAAATTGAACGAAATTCTAGTTAGAAGCAGCTTATGGGATCGAGTCAGGTTCGATCTATATCAATACTATTATGATCACTAATGGTAAATCAAATGTTGATGATGATCGTCGTCGCCCTCAATCCGACAGAAAAGAACGCGAAAAGTACGTCGTCATTTTGCGTAAATTTTTTCGAATAGTGTATCTGTTCTCAATATTTATCTAACTCTATTTCAGACCTAGGTGTGATCAATTGGGATCTGTTGGTTCAATTGTGGAAATAACAATGCATATAATCTATCCGGCAAAGTGTGGTATATCTATGGCTTGTAAAAAAGAATTTGCCAATATTATCCAAGCTCGTATTGAGACATATGTTTCAAGTATTTCACTAAAGTTTGAATTTGATGATGAAAGCTTCAGTGAAATTGCGTTGACCAGATGTAAGACAACCACTGATTCATCACTAAACACTTTATCACGATCACGACGCGGTAAAGCCACTACAAAAAAGTCCACTACAACACAACGCACTACAACGCCAGGTAAACAGCCGTATGATCCATAAGTTTGTTACTTTTAAAAACTTAAATTAGTAGCAAAAGTAAAAGAAATTGAATGCTCTACAATTTTCTTCTGAAATAATGTTCAAATCTATAGTTCAATGAATAAGCTAAGCCTAATCTTTAAAAAATATTGAATGTCTTTGCTTCTGCTAACTTCATAGATCATGACATCGGAATGTGCACATGTTGCAGCATAATAGCAATGTTTTGATAGTGTACCGTGCATCATATAAAAGACATCTATGACATATTATGATATACTATTCTTGACTTGCTGATATTTCGATGAATTTCAGTTGTCGTGGATCATGACTAAGCTGTTTTTGTAAACCCATTTTGCATTGACTTTGAATAGAAATAAAAATGTTCACTGAGTGAACATAGTTATTCATGAATTGAGTAGTCTTTGTTTTTAAAAATTTTC